TCCTAGATTCGAAATTATATACAAATTTCTGTAGAAACGAATATTATTGACGGACACCCCTGAGAACTTCTATAAACCATATACACTGAACATATTAAAATAATAAAAAACAAATAAGTTATTAGTAAACTAGGGAAATCAAGTCAAGTACCGAAATTATGGATTAGATTCAGATATATAGAGCATGTAGATCAACAGATAGTTGCCTATTTTTAAAGTTAATGCATAAGAGTAACTTTTAAAATCAGGTGCGGTTATAATAAGGTACTCTGTGACAGAAACTGTGTGATGATTGTGAATAAGCCACAGATTAGAGAGAATTTTTAAACTCGTTAACCAAAGAAAGCTAAGAGATTTAGGTTCTATAGCCATATATTTAGTAGCTTCATTATTTTTGTTATGTTTTTAAGATAACCATATTTTAGATTTTTAGTGTATCACACCTTATAATTTTATTTATATATTAATTTATAGTCAGGGAACGTAGGTCCATAGATAGATACCTTAAAGTCTAACATATATACACTTTATAATGTGTTTATGGAGGTGTTTGGCGAAAAATGTATGGCAATAGACTTTATGATGTCGCCTACCATGTATAATAATTGTCTGAACACATTTTCATGTAGTGAAAATGATAATATAGTGGTGGATATTAATACTACAGTGTAATAAAAAAAATGGGTGCGTGTACTTATGTAGGCGCGTGAGAAGTTATCCTTCTTTGGCATCGTTTAAAATTAGTTTTTAATTGCATGCAAATAATTAATTACAATAAATTAATAAAAAGTCTGGAAAAGGACACAGTCAATAAAGTTAAGTTTTAAATTGAAAAAATAAATAAATAATCAAAATATTCAATTAAAATCGCTACTGAATATAATTTATTAGAACATATGTGATTTGCACTTGTATGAAACTCAAACACGTATTCCGAATATACAAACTAGAAACATGTGGATAAATATTATAAATATGAATACCTATAACTGTTACTTTATTACAAAAAATAAAGATGTGGTTTTTGGTTCTACTACACCAATGGTCAAGAGATGGCGCTGTAGTCTCCTGAATCGCGCTTTGGTTCCGTTGTTCCAGATTAATAAATACTTTTTGTTACTTTATTACAAATAATAAAGATGTGGTTTTTGGTTCTACTACACCAATGGTCAAGAGATGGCGCTGTAGTCTCCTTGAATCGCGCTTTGGTTCCGTTGTTCCAGATTAATAAATACTTTTGATAGGCCTTCACAATGCAGTCGTTAGCACCCACAAAATAGAGATTCTATTTCTATTTTGTTGGTAGATTTTCTTAATGTGCGGTAAACACAAAAGTAACAGCATGATGCTGTTAATTTTTTGTGTTACAGTGATGCGCGCGCATCTTAAAATTTCACTCTCATCATTTTTTCATAACGCGCCTAAAGAAGGATAACTTCAAAAAATGATTTATTTTATCGATCTTTACAAAATAGATTTGTTTTTATGTTATATAAACAACTTCGATCAGTCTTTGGCTGAATGTTACTACACCCATGGCCATTAAAAATGATTCGTATGTTTTCCAAACCGGTAATATTAAAAGTCCGTTGAAATCTAATGACTGTAAATTAAATTATAAATTACGCCAAGAATTACCGTGTATGTCAATATTTTTTGTGCATTTGGGCCAATTTGAGCAATCTCCTTTGTATTTGAAAATATATTGAGAAACAGGGTATTATGATTACACCAATCCCCTGTTAACCCCCAGTACCTACTTACTTGTTAGTAAGTGGAACGTACCGGGTTTTAAAGCAGAAAAGTACTTTTGAAAGTAAGTTAATAATACGGCTATATAATAGTATATATAATAGCAGATAATTAGAAAATTATGTTGCAGATAACAAAATAGTTCGGTAACAAATAACAGAATAGTGTAGCTAAACTAAAACAATCATTTTGTAACCTTCTGTAAAATATTCACGGAAGATGCGGATCCGCGCGAATCTATTTGGGAAGCGAGCGGATCCCGCAAATTACTGAACAAGTGTGAGAATTAACAGAACAGTTACATAACTGTTTTGTTATACCAAAAAAACTATTTTGACAAAACCGAGTTTGTCTGCTACACTCGGCGTAAAAAAAATCTTACCATCACACAAAAAAAAACACTACTGCAATCACGGATGCGGCTTTTTCTAGCGGATTTTTTGCGGATTTTTCTAGTAAAATTTTCTTTAGATTGAAATATCTAATAATAATTAATAGCAGTTAAATGTTTAAACAATAAAAAATATATTTCTTAATCAAAATTTGCATTTCACATGAGTCTTAAATTAAATCCAGAGCACGATTAACTGCAAACCGCTATTGGCTTTGCTTAATTTATTTATTTGTACGCATATGTTTGACGAAGATTATCCGGCGAGAGGGTGCACGTGGTGGCAACGGCATTGTGGAGTGTATATCCGTTGAACCGCGCGGTAAGGAAGACAAGCACACATAGAAACGCGGTCATGAATAGGACATGCGTTTCATGGAGATTCGTGAATCGTGATTCCGAAAAATTTATAGTACAGAAGGCAATCTACTACGTACAAAGTACGCTCGAGCAACGCACACTGACACCGCTCACGGACCGGTTGGGATTAGTGCGAGCCTTAGATAAATGCTCTAAGGTGCGAGCGCGACTTCCATTCGCTTGAGAAATGGGTTTATAAACATTTTTGTACAAAAATGAAGCAATAAAAAAGTGGGTGGTTGTTTAAATTCAGCATTCAACGGTATTTATTTAATTTTTAATAGGTTTATATTTCGATTGTTTTTGTTTCATTCAAATCATCACTATAAATCAAACAAGTATATACGAGTGCCACTACCGCGATATTTTGATTTTTGTGCTTATGTCAAAGTTATCGTAGCGCGATCGCCGAGCGTTAGTATGAAAAGCGAAGGACATACACGAGTTTGACTTCTGTGCTATCTATTTTGGGGATGGAACTTTTTGATTCAATGCGTTTGAGGGTGCGTGTGTGTGGGTTGGATTTGCTTGTTCCGCGGTCGAGTCCGCAACGTCGCGAGGCGTCCTTTGTTGCGGTCGCGTGGCGCAGCGGCGTGCAGACGCAGTGCACATGCCGAGGACACGCGCCGCCCAAAGTGTCTGCTACACGACCGACGCCTCCTTCAAAACTGTTTTTCTGACGGCACTTAATTAATCCGTGTCGTGAACTGCTCGTAATCGCTGTTATAAAATTTGTCGCTTCAGTTCTGTTATTTTTTTCTTTTTGGGGTTTTCAAAAGTGAAGAATTTAATAAAATGTCTTCATTTTCACCATCATATGGCAAAATCAGGATTTAATTAACAAAATTGACTAATCATAAAAAAAAACTTATTTGCAGTGCTGCACGCTGTAAGCAGACAACCTTGAACCACATACTTTCATATTTATATGTTTTTATTTATTAAAAATAAATGATAAGTGTAGAGACATAGTGGTGTCGATTCTGGCGTGATTCTCTAAACTTAAAACTAAATTTAACATTTTCAGTCTGTATAGCGAAAGACAAGGATACACTGCTGTCAAAATTAAGTTTAGGTTAAGAGAATCATGCTAGAATCGACACCATTATTACTTAAATCGTGATTAAGATTCTCTTATTCATTATATAATTTAAAACAAAGAAGACCATCTGATTCAATCCAAACAAGTGCTGATATCTGAGGAGGTCCACATCAATTTTACAATTGCTCCGAACTCAATAGGTTGGAAACTAAATCGTTCCCTTTGACAACGACCCCTACCCGTATTTATTTGTCTGTTTGTTGTGTGTAAGCATTTATTACACGCAATTATTAACAAGTCGTTCACAGACTCGCTCACTATTGTTACAAATGGCGATTCTCAAACTTTTCCAAACTGCAGTAAAAAACTTTTTGAATTTACTTATTGTTATGTTCATGATGATTGCTTTAGTAAGAAATAAATTTGATTATTATTAAAATAAGATAGCGATTCCTAATTCAGACGTGCTTTATGCTTTTCATGGAATTTTACTTTTTCAATCAAATCTTGCATCAAAAAAACAAAATGTCGATCGTCGTCGGTCGTATTTTATGTCAAGTCTATTTGACATGTGTTTTTATAAATATTTATAAATTCAGCGATGGTGATATGCTAATTTACTCTGCCATACATCATCAGCAATTATTATTCGTCGCTTGTAATCAATTTTCATGCTAACACAGTCAGAGTACCACAGTAGTAGTGGCTTGTTTTTTTGAAAACAATATTTATCAAATAGCTCTGCGCAAAGCGTTCACGTTTATTTGTCTTCTTTAGCTATATATGTATAATAGGTTTGTAAAGTTTGACAATCACTTTCGCCCCCTATTTAGCGAAAAGCGAGGGTTGGCCACTCTGTCCTGTCGCACGGACCGCTCTGCCGCGGGTCTGGCACTAGGTATGGGAACAACACACAAATTGCCCGCAACCAATTGTCCAATGTGTTCACGCCATTTAACTAAACAGATTGTTCTGTAAGAGCCACTTTTTTCACGTTTTTGTATTGAGAAAGCAAACATTTTGGTTATTGCGGTGAATTGGATATGGAGCATTGTTTTTTTAATAACTTTGTTTTATGCGTTTATTTATGTTGTTTTCCTACAAGTTAGTTTAATTAGGTAGTCTTTCTTTAGGTGCCAAACTTACAGATAACTTTACGCACTTTAGGAGCTTAGCTTACAGACAAGCTAGCAAGCTAGCAAAAGAGATCGATCTGTTAACTTGAATGTTTAGTAACTTTCGCAATATTATCGTGGAAGTTATGCTACTAAGCTTCGGTCATGGCTGCATTTGCTTTCAGTCGTTAGGTGCCACTAAAACACACTGGGCCCGCGTGCAAATCAGGACCAATCTCCCTATTCAGCCCCAGAAGTAAGAAACCTAACAAGCCCATGAATAAATTATATCACATTTGTTTATGTATATTCGCACTAACAAGATTAAAAAAAAACGTTTTTGGTACTCTAATAAAAATATTTATTGTTCTTTAGATATCACTCTGGCTTCTGGCTCGTCTTCTCTGGAAGTCTGATCTCCTCCACCTGCGGCAAGTCTTCGGTGCTGGACTTTAGCTCCACGTATTTGTAGCGGCAGGCCATTCCCGTGAAAACCATCATGTCAGCCAACATCAAGCCAGCGAACAAAAAGAATTCTTTCCACTGAAACAATCACAGAACGAATCGAAGAAAGAGTTTAGAATGGCCTTGTGGGCGGGGCAGGCGCGTCACAGTTATGAGCAAATGCTCATAACTTGACCGTAACGTCCGATCGCGTCGTTTAGTTGCTCACGAACGCTCAGTGAGAGGGTATTGTGATTACCGCTTAAAATATGCCTTCGTGTGCCGTAATTACTTGCAAAGTAAGGAGTCAATCATCAAATCTACCTAATGCAGGAATTTCTTTTCATCGGTAAGTATAAAACTTCTTAGGTAGATTGATATTTTAGTAAGAAATCGAGAAATATTAATTAAACGTCACATATATAATATACTAGCTGACTCGGCGAACTTCGTACCGCCCAAAAGTAATAATTAGCAATAAATTAAAATTGCGACTATAATTTGAGATTTAAACTATCCTATCTCTCAAGTTGGATCCTCAGACCAAATAAAAAGTATAGACAGAGTCTGCCGAACCAAAAAGTGAAGCCGATAAAACTACGCCTCGCCGTGTACATACACAGTTACACGCACACACATGCAACGAAACTACGCCTTGGCTTCTCAGTCGAGCTATCCCGACGCGCGGAGTGTGACGTAATAATAAATAACAATATTTATTAGAGAAAATGCCGAATTGTGTAGTGAAAACGTGTAAAAACCAATCTTCCAAGAATAAAAAACAGGATGGAATCACATTTCATACGTAAGTAAAGTTATAAACTGCTATTTTCAATTAATCAAAATCAAATTTGAGGTTGTCGCTTTGTAAACAAAACCTGAACGAAATGTTGCCATGATTATTCGTTACAGTTTTACCCTTTTGTTGGGTAGCGTGAAATATAACGTAACGTTATTTTATTAAATACATTGTGTGGCATACTTTTATATTATTCGAATATTGTAATGCATGGATAAACAATTACACGAAACATCTTTTTTCTTTATGTATTCGTATAAATTTTTTGGGATGTAATACACATTATATATTATACGTTTTTTTTTAAGATTTCCTAATCGAGATCAAGATCTAAAAGAGAAGTGGATTGCAGTCATTCGTAAGAGTAGAAATGAACCATTGTGGCAACCAGCTTCCAGCAGCGTGGTTTGTTCGACTCATTTTCAGAGCGGCGATTTGTACTACACAACAAAAGGGTTACGTCGTGTAAGGGTTCAAATTGCCGCACCAAAGCTACCATTTTCGGATTTAAACCAGCCTTCTACTTCAAGTGCTGTAAGTAAGATAATTACATAATTTCCAAAATATTTATAAACAAATCACCTATATTTTATATTTTCTTCTTGTTGTTGAAGAATTTATATAGATTAATATTATTCTGATTTCTTTAAGGTTCAAACTACACTACCAGAGTTATTATTTTCGGATTGGAACCAGCCTTCAGCTTCATGTGCTGTAAGTGAGATAGTTTATATCCAAGATATCAACATAGGTACATATAAAACTTAACTTTCTTATCACAATGAATGCCAGCTACGAGAAAATTCTTGTCATTCAATGTGTTAAATACAACATAAGTCAAACGTTTAAAATACCTACTATACATTTATAACTTCATTTTTGTAAAAGAATTTGCGTTGATTAATATTTTTTTTAAGGTTAAACCAGAGCAATCAGTGCAAGATCCATCAAATTTGGACACCCCCAGGAAGCACAACCTACGAAAAAGAGTTTTATTTTTAGAGACAAAGTTAAAAAAAGATAAAAAAAAGAATAAAAACATTAAACCAAAAAGTAAGGCGTCTAATTAAGAGAAATAAATCTTTAAAAGAAATACTTCAAAATCTTAAAAAGCAAAACTATATTAATACAGATTTGTTTAATGAATTAAAAGGCAATATTGCTGTCCTTGATATGTTTTTGAACATTAAATGTATTGAACATTAAACAGAAAAAAGTTATAAAAAAATCGTATACACTCCCGCCATAAAAAAAAATTGCCTTACTCTTAACTTTTATTCACCTAAAGCTTATGAGTATGTTAGAGCTACATTGAATACGTGCCTTCCGCATCCCAAAACATTAGCCAAATGGTATGGACACATAAAAGGAGAGCCAGGTTTTACGGAAGAATCATTTGAGGCATTAAAAGCTAAGTCCGCAATCAGCGATCATAAACCAATATGCAACTTGGTGTTCGATGAGGTGGCTATTCGACCTCAAATTTCATAACGTCATTACATTTTTCTAATATTGGGGTGTTTTATATGACTATGGTAACACTGGCTAATGCACTACATACATAAAAAACCGGCTTCACTTTTTGGTTCGGCAGACTCCGTCTTTACTTTTTATTTGGTCTGAGGTTGGATCGAACTGCACATGGTGTGCGAATTTTATTATAATCGGTTAAGTGGTTTAGGAGTCCATTGAGGACAAACATTGTGACACGAGATTTATATATATTAAGAAGATTTCCACAAAAATATTCATTGCTGACAAAGTACGCTCGCTATTTTTTCTACGTCATTCAAAACACGAAATGTAGTACGATCGATCAAGAATGACGCGTGGATCACAGAGCGCTGCACGTGGCCGCACGCAGTACAAGGTCATTGCACCTACTTTAGTGGTGTCTTGCGTCGTACATTTTACATTTTCGATAGATTTTATCGACTGAATTTTAGCACCTAATAATGGAATTAAAGTAACTTTTAGAAATAAATAAAAGCTGATTGTAAATGTTTATCATACTTAATATTATAAAGGCGAAAGTTTGTGAGTGTGTATGTTTGTTACTTCCTCACGTCTAATCGGCTGGAGCGATTTTAATAAAATTTGGTATGGAGTTAGCTGACACCCTGGATTAACACATGTTAATATGTAACTACGTTTTGCTGCGGGTAAATATCCCTAATAAACCGCAGGTAACACCGCAGGGCACAGCTAGTACAATATAAATATAAAGCTGAAGAGTTTGTTTATAGTCCAGTCAAAATAGACATTTGACTTAGGAATAATTCGTATAGAGCTGAAAATTGGCAGAGACGTTAAATACGTCATTATAAATAAAATGACAAAAATCCCCTTCGATCCTACTTCTGCAAAAAAAAATCAACTAAAACGTACAAAATTATGTTTTTTTCCATTTTTCTTGAAAATGGTAAGTTTTGTCGTGAAAGTAGGTCAGACGTTGACGAACGTTGACGAAGTTGTAGACCATACAATTCTCTACATAAATGGTCTGGTCACTTTTTCTCTCACGACTCACCATTCGTGAGATATCGCGGTTTTAATAATTAGAAAATTCATTTTTTCCATAATATGCACACTTTTCTGCACTACCTATGAGGTAATGTACTTGGCGGATTTTTTTCAAAGTGGTTTCCCCAGTAGGTATACTGCACGATGTATTGTAATAAATAAAGTTTGATCAGATCATATTCTATTGATTGATAGAATGGTTATATTAGTCCAGTCAGTATTGTCGCGAAATCCGTTTTTCCTCAAACAGCTGGAACTATGCTAAAAAGTTTCTTAAGATAGTAAAGAACACTTTACATAGAGAAAAAAATGTTTCCAACCCCGGGCAAGGGTGAAAACCACCCTTAATAATCTATTTTTCCAATTATCTCAAAAAGTATACGAGATACGGAAAAAAACTTCAAATGAAAATTGTAGATCTTTTTGAAATCTACAAAACATTATTCCACCCTCTTGCCCCTATTTTCAATAGGGGAGCCAATAATCGAAGTCAAAGATTCAATACTTAAAAAGTTAAAGTTAGTTAAAAAAGTTATCTTTGACTTCGATTATTGGCTCCCCTATTGAAAATAGGGGCAAGAGGGTGGAATAATGTTTTGTAGATTTCAAAAAGATCTACAATTTTCATTTGAAGTTTTTTTCCGTATCTCGTATACTTTTTGAGATAATTGGAAAAATAGATTATTAAGGGTGGTTTTCACCCTTGCCCGGGGTTGGAAACATTTTTTTCTCTATGTAAAGTGTTCTTTACTATCTTAAGAAACTTTTTAGCATAGTTCCAGCTGTTTGAGGAAAAACGGATTTCGCGACAATACTGACTGGACTATATTGCTAATGATCAAAGTGGAATAGGTTGTTTTCTTCTAAATGTTATTATATTAGATAATTGTCTAATTCTTCTCCGACAATTATTTCTTCGTCTTCATTTTCTTCTTCTTGCAGAATTTCTATTCACTGTTCTCAGAAAAGGGATGCAACAATTGTCTCTTTATTAATATCATAAATATTTTCATTTCATCTGTTGTATTTTTTCCAATATTGGAGCAAGGCTGACCCTGACAATTGATGCATACTGGCGAAAAAAATAATCCCACTTTATGACAGCTACAATTCTTACTACAATCCGTCTTGCATTTACAATAAATAGGATTAAGCAGTTTTTCTGCAGCAGGCGGGAGTAGAGTTCGAATTGGCTCCAAATAATTATCTGTTAATTTCCAACCCCATCCTTCTGAGTCCAGCTCATTGCCTAGCCACATTTGAACTTGATAATACACACGATAGAAGTGTTGAAAGGCAGAAGCAGACGTTGGAGGCAGACAATACCACTGTACTGTTTTATTGTTCCATGCAGATTTATATCCCATAGTAGGCCTCAGAATGATATTAAAACAGTTATTGTGGTACTTAGCTTTAGAAGCAACTAAGTCATACTCAATATGTAAAATATGAATTTTCTAATTATTAAAACAGCGATATCTCACGAATGGTGTGTCGTGAGAGAAAAAGTGACTGGACGAGTTTTGTAGAGAATTGTATGATCTACAACTTTTGTCAGACCTGTTTTCACGATAAAACTTACCGTTTTCGAGAAAAATGGAAAAACCCATAATTTTGTAAGTTTGACCTTGATTTTTTTTTGCAGAAGGTGGATCGAAAGGGATTTTAGACATTTTATTTATAATGAGTCTATGCCAATTTTTAGCTCTATGCGAATTATCTCTAAGTTATGACTTATTTTTGTCTATTTTGGCTGGACTATAGAGAGAATTAACTTGTCCACACAGGCAGTAGAAAGAGCATGTAAAGAGCCATCTGAAAACGAAGAGGATGAAGATGAAGATTTTACTGATTTCAGTATACAAGTCATTGCCTACATAGCAGGCAATGTGGTTCATGTCCTAATTAAAAAAAATGCAATATTTGCCCTGGAGCCCTAATATCAGATTCAAGTAATAGTAATAATTAACAAAAAAAATTCGTTAAAAGATAAAGGTGGCCTGATATATCTTTCCGTGGTGATGTTATAAAAATATGTAAAAGTGCAGAAACTGTATGTACTACGACAACATGCAGATAATTTGAAAAAATTCAAAAAAGAAAGAAGAAGTTTTAGTCGCAAAAATATAAAAAAAGTTGGCACTTCATCATTTGATGACATATCATTTCATCAAGTCGGTGAATTCCCATTATCTAACCACGTAACACATTCAATTAAAATGGTAATTGAAAAATATATAGATATACGTCGTTCGGTTGCTTGATGTCGCGTCGTTTGATTGGCTTATTATCTATTAGGTCGAAGTGTAGTGGGGACGAGCCGGCAACATCGGTTCTCATACTGGCGATCGCTTATCACCCTTCTAACCAATATATGACAATGATGTTTTTGATGTTGCCGATTAACAACAAAAAATATTAAATCAGTTTCCAAATATGCTCTGTTATTGATAGGCTTTTACTATCTGCACAGGAAAGTTAGCATTTTTAAGTTAGCCTGTAGCCAAGGCAAACCAGATTATCAATCAAGCATTGCTGACTCTGGCCCCATCCTTTGACCCATGGAGCTTGAGAACCTTATTCTCTGACAGAAACAGCACTGTAAGATGGAGATTTCTTCCCACGTCAGGCGGTCAAATGAAGCCAAGAATCAGCCCTACCTTTCTTAATATCTTCTGACTTGTCGACCTTAACCCTATTCTTCTACCCTATGGAGTTCTGGCGACTGCAGAGATACTACACCACTATTATTTGGCTAGTTTTCTTTATGGATACTTGTCCCGACAGTTTCGATTCACTTATTTCGTTATTTAAAACGGTCGGCATTTTTAAAATAATTTTGAAAATCAAGTTAATTATAAGATCCACTTGCATAATTTCTTTAATTTTTTTTTAATAATATCGTTGTATCAATCTTTATTTGAATTAAAACAATTGAAAAAATGGATTGGTGTTTCAAACAGAATTAGGCTTTTGATTAAAAAATGTTGATGCAAGTGGCTCTAAATCGTCACCAAAATTGTTTATACAAAACTGACCAAAAAGTAATAAGACCTTTTTAGTAATGCAACAGCTACGTCAATATTGCGTACGTAATTGGATTTATATTAATTTTGTTCAATTCGCCCTTTTTTATTTCGAGTGTCCAGAGAAACCTGCTCACCTGGGCGTCCAAGAACTTTCCTTCTACAATTAGCACGACAATCAGATTCCCGAAGGCGACAGTGAGCAGCCATACAGACTGCAGGACGGACTTCATGCTGGCTGGCGCTTGCGTGAACGAGAACTCAAGTCCAGTCACTGAGAACATCACCTCGCCCATCGTCATCACTATGTACTGGGGCACTAGCCACAGTATGTGCACAGAGTTCCATGGAGTTATCATCACAGGATTGACCATCTGAAAATTAAATAGAAGGCCATTTACTACGTACTACTACGGAAACGAAGTATCATCCAAGAACAAAAATCATATTATAATGCGATAGTTTGTCTATTGTGCTGCATTATAAAATCTGATAAAAACGTGTTTTTCTAATTGGCTTAGTCTTCTAGGTTGTGAGACAAAAACTGTTTTTGCCAAAGCACAACCGGACCTCGGGGTCAAAAATAGTTTTTGTAAAATTTGGTGGTATACAAATCATTATTTCTAAATAGCATTATGCACATCACTTCGACTTACATAGACTCCATTGTTGTCTTGATATAAATTAAAAGTATAAACTGCTCCCACCCTTAGGGGAGTGCTCGCTAATATAGTCTGTCCATCTACGACAATATCATAAGTTCCGGCCTCAATCGACTTTTGATTGATATCATTGCTGGCCAAAGTTAATTTCGTTCGGTTCTTTTGTATTTCCACTAGTTTTATTTGCGCCACTCCGTTCACGTTTGATAAAAATCTGAAACATTTATAAGCGTTAAAAGAGAAATAAGAATAAAACGAGCCTTGGCACCATTGTTGATCTGTAATATTTGATTTTGAACAGTAAAACATGTAACAGTTGAGTGATTTTAATAACAGCTACACGTCAAGTTACTAAAAAAGAAAATGTTAACACTATTTGTTCGAGAGCGTTGTAGAAAATGAGTAATGTTTTTAAAATGTCCTATTATTCTCATTTTTCTAACGGAAATAAGTTCGTATACAGTTGAAGTAAAAGTGAAACCAGGCAAGTTAAGAGGTATAAGGGAAGAAACCGTGACAGATGGAAGACATTATTATGCTTTCTATGGCGTCCCATACGCTCAAAGTCCTGTAGGAAAATTAAGATTTAAAGATCCCAAGCCCCCGAAAAAGTGGAAAACAACTTTTGATGCAACAGTGGAGTACCACGGAGCTTGCGCGCAATCACATTTAGTCCACAAACACGCTTTGTTTGGGTACGAAGATTGTCTCAGTTTGAATGTCTATTCAGCCCACATTCCAAAAGAAAAAGACGAAAAATTGCAACCAGTAGCAGTTTGGATACATGGATACGGTTTTGCAGCAAGCTTGAGCCACATATTCGGAGGTGATTCCTTTTTAGACAAAAATATTGTTTTTGTCACAGTTACACACAGAATTGGTGTTTTCGGTTTTTTAAAATCTAATATTTCAAGCCCTGGTGGCAACATGGGCTTAAAAGATATCGTAATGGCGTTAAAATGGATAAGGAAAAATATAAAACATTTCGGAGGAGATAAAAGAAGAATAACTGTTATGGGTAATGACTCAGGGGCATCTTTTTTGTCATTATTACTGATGACAAAATATAGAAATATGTTTGCGAAAATGATTTTACAAAGCGGTACTATTTTTGCTCCTTCTATGTATAAAAGAAATGCCAATCTTGAGAGGGATAGGTTTCTACGTAATCTTCAAAATGTTGGATATAGAGACATTTCCACAGCACCAACAAAAGATATAATACTTGCATCACAAAAAATTTACACTAGCAAAGAGATAATTAATTTTCAGAGGCCAGTGGTTCCGTTTTCACCAACAATAGATATATCCTTAAATGAATCTTTCCTGTCGTTAAGTCCGGATGAATTTTATAACAATGCCAAGAATTTTAATGTAAGTAAAAGTATTTTGTTAGGATTCAACAATGCAGAAAGTATATCAGAAATAATACCATTTTTACACAATACTCGTTATCTCAATTATTTCTCGCCAATTTTTAAATACATGATACCTTATTCGGATGGATGTATTTATAACTATACAACTAAAATATACACGAAAATTGCAAACAAAATCAAACATTACTATTTTAAAGAAGGAATCTCTGAGAAATCTTTTGTTAACTTTCTGCGATATACAACAGACTTGAGAAAATATCCGATATGGAAGTTCATACAGAAACTAATATCTTTGAAAACTTCTAAAATTTTCGTGTATAAATTTTCTTATGTGGGTGGGCTTAATACTGTTAAAGCCACCTCACTGGCAGGAACTAATATAAAAGTAAAAGGTGCATCGAATGGTGATGAAATATGTTACATATTAAGGTGTGAACCGTTGACGGATAAATATATTAAAACAAATAATGACACAACAATCCAAGATAGGAAATTTATGACCAAAATCACAGAAATGTGGGCCAATTTCATAAGGAGAGGTGATCCTACGCTTTTTTCTCAATCTGGAAACATCGTATGGCCAGCCATGACATTAAAAGAAAAAAATATTTTGAAACTTGGCAAGGATACGAAGCTAATCAATTCGAAACTTGAAGACGAGACATTCTCATTTTGGGAAGACATTTATACAATGTATTATGCAAATTATAGTAATTGTGCTCAAAACATTCATGAAGAATTGTAAATGTGTCGGTTTAGTTCTAAGACTAAACTAGAACAGGTATTTACATATTATTATTATAGGAATGAAATACTGTAACAAGAAAGTAAAGATGTTTTGAGCCTATACAAAATGTATAATAAAATTATAGATCTAGCAGGTACCTCACATTGACACTGTCGATGGCCTTGTCATTATTGTCCGTAAAATTAGATACTCCATTTCTAGAAATGAAGAATGAATTAGCTTTTTCTTGCTTTAGGTGTAAGTAACCATTGTATACTATGTCGGCACAATCGCCTGCTCCTTGACTATGTATATTGTATGGCAGGTCTAAAACATTTTCAGTTTCTATATCCAAATGTTCATAAACTGAAAGTGGAGTAATGGTTGCTTGAGTTTCATTGCCATGTATATGAGGAACGTTCAAAGTGAAGTTGCAATTATAACCATTATACATTCTAAGCTGTGCCAATCCCGGGGCAACCGGTGTACCATATGTCGGCTGAAATAGTAAATATTTACAAATATTTAATTTTGGTAACAAAATAATATAATATCAGAGAAAAACTAAACTATTGTAGATGTACTCTTAAAATCAACATTTTGATGTGCCGTGAACTTCATCGTGTCATGCTTATCCCACACCTGCGTGACGAAACGTTCTTTCTCGAACTTTGAATTACGTACGTTTCTCAGCTGCACATACAAATTTACCGTCTCCGACAACCTCTTTTATACGTGTCAATTTATCTAACTATCATTTAGCTTCTATAGATACGCAGCCCGCTAATTCATGACAACCGAACTTATTCAAATTTCGAACGCTAATTTTGGTGCATTTGCACCAAAGCCACCCGTAGCTTCATCACGCAGCTGTGGGAGAAGTATCATCTATTTTATGACATCAGAAACTATATAAGTTAGAGTAGGATGGAGAACGATGATGATCACGATATCAAGTGCAGAAACCAGGCGCGGTTCGACTTCTACCTTCACACCTGATATACTGTTTGTTTTTATATGTAGGTCAGACAATTGACTCCAACCCCCCCCCCCCCTTTATCCCCCCTTATTTATTGTCTTTTCATTTTGATATTTGATAGAAGATAAATTAAAGTCAAATCTTACCAATAAATTGATTTCGACTATTCCTGAAATTACGAAAGCACAAGCAGCCAATATACCTCCCCAAATCATTTTGTGTAGTGGTTTTTTCACTAGTTTACACCAATAGAGGAATGGATATACAGCCTGTAAAGGAATTAAACTAGTATTCAATCTTAATGTTAACAAAAACGTGCACTACTGATTGACAAGAAGACATGTTTATTTATTCTATGTACTTCCACAAACAGATAGCACAAACTGAAATAAAACTTAAAAGTTTAATGATGTCTCTTAACTATGTTCAACTTACTAGTACTATGAATATATGTATAAATATATATATTAAAAATGTCAAACAGATATAAGTATCCTAAGATTATTATTAGTCCAATAGTTAAGTATACCTAATTCTTTCTATAATTATTGTCGTCACATTTTTTTTATTATGTACTCATATACCTACATTTATAGTAGGTTATATTATGTCTTACCACTTCGAATATAGGGATAAAAATCAGGATAAGAAGAGGATTCAACACTTGCATCTGGTCCGCTTTCAGTGTCCAGCCGCCGATATCTTGCCTCATTCTGTCTGCTTGGAAAGTCCACCTTGATCCCTACAAACAGAGTTTTATAAGTTGATCGATTAATAGAAGGAATGACCTTTTTTATGAATATAAAATTAAGTATTAGGTGAAAGATGTTTTAGCGGTGTTATGTTTCTGTCGATAAGTAATCTCTCCATGGCTTCATGGGATAGAAAATCTGAGTAGAGACTTTTATTACTTTAGTTGAGTAAATAGCTTTTTAACATTCCGAAAAGCTTGTAACTTTCTGGACTCATAAATGATTTTGTGTCTTACGGTAACCGCTTACCGTTAGGCATTTTTTTCATAAAAACTCTCCTTTGTTTATATTAACTATGTTTACATACAAATATACTTACTTGTTGATCAAATAAGGCCCAGAAGACCGGCAGGGGTATGTAAAGCACGAGTACCCTCAGGAGGCCTTTGATATCATCGATTAGGCTTTTCTCGTATTTGTCGTCCGCGTGATCCAACCAATGCTCTCTTTTTTCTTTGCTTTTGAAAGACTTTACTACTCCACGCTGTAAAAATCATTAAGTTTAATTTATTTAGTTCTAAATACAGTATTTCTTGCCTCTTTACAGCCGTGCTATTCTAAAAGAACAAACTCACTTTTCACCGCGAAAACATATTTGAACTTCGTGTGTTAATTTACAGTCACACCGCGGATTTCGTAACAAAGTAAGTTTGTTTGTACAGAACAGCACTGCAGATTTTAACGAGTATTAGTAATGAGTGGGGCTTGGAAGGATTAGTTAACCTCTTTTGTGACATAAAGTTTCACTATGGCAGAAGTCCGCTATATTTGGATCTTTAATTATTTGCCATTTGAAAGAACGAAATAATTGCAATTTGTGTTTATAAATTAAATTACATATAACTCACACCAATGCACGCGGAAACTCTGCCAAAGATATTTCCAGAAGGATTCCTGATAATGTACAGGCGTTTGCCAGCCACGAAGAATACTGCAAATACAATATATTATAAATACAACGTATCAGACCCTCTTGACGCAATTACCTGTCTGTTATTTGTACCCGTCTTTCAGAGCAAGTGGTAAATGAGCCTCTTTCTTTTTCGAGATTTATTTTCGTTTACAGTATTTAATTTACCTTATCTTAGAGTAATGAACATTAGAATTGCAATATATGTATCAACCAGTTACTCATAAAGTTAGCTTCCAAGAAAGGTACTCTAAAGAGACATTTACTTTGACGGCGTTAGTAATATATAATAAGTAGGTACTTATAAATCTAAAGAAAATATAACTAGAAAAAATTCCACGCGGACCAGGCAGCAGACGGGACTCGAACCCGCACCCTTCGCAATCCGGGCGAATGCACTGACCAATTATATAATATTATTAATATTATATTATTAATAATATAATTGCTATTTCTTCTTTCAAATGTTTAATTTATATTACTTGTAAAAGTATTCATTTGACATTGTGGGTTTACCTATAATGCGAAGAGATGGCGCTGCCTTGCAGCTTAAGAATAGCTAGAAAGAATTTCGACGCGGTCCGTGAGGGCCGCGGTAGCATAATTGGTCAGTGCATTCGCCCGGATTGCGAAGGGTGCGGGTTCGAGTCCCGTCTGCTGCCTGGTCCGCGTGGAATTTTTTCTAGTTATATTTTCTTTAGATTTAAACATCAAGCAGTTACATGCTTTAAAAATAATAAAAATTATAGGTACTTATAACATGAATAAATACGTATTATATTAACCGGGACCGGGACGGTTGTCTTTAATTCATACTTTATGAATTAAAGACAACCGTCCCGGGACTTTACCAGAATCCACTTTACTCAATGTTATTTATGTTATATAAAAATATCAACTGAATTAAAACATTATTAAATTTTATTTTTAACAACATTATTTTTGAAGTCGGTTAAAATTTGACATAAATAGGTAAATTTAGAGCAGTATCCCATTCTAAGTTCTGGTTTTGGGATTCATCATTAGGATTAATGCATGTGCTAGTGGCCTTTATCTCATTTGAACAATTTAAAGACAGAGAAATGGTAAAATAAATTAAATAATAATCTGGCCAATCACCAAGGATAAAACTAACTTGTGTTATATAAATATAACATTCAAAAAACACGCACCATTGGCACCATTGTCGTAGCCGGAACATATAACATTCAGGCCCGTATTACAGAATGACAACTAAGTGTTGATCTTTACTTGAGTACAGTAAGAAAGGGATATCGCTATGTGCTATATATAGCGACTTCCCTTTCTAACTATGCTTAAAACAGATCAATCACTGAGAATCTTTCTATAATCAAGGGATATTCAGACACGCGTCATGTAAATTCATTTCAAGATCTTCCACAAGGATTTTTTAAACTCGTTTCGATTAGCGTGAAGCGTAAGTAATTTAGTTTAAAATCACACGCCATTCATCGTATGCTTCAATAAAGAGGTACTAACTAGTATGTACAGTGTAACTTTGCTTACTGAAATCTGTTTGTTACGCGATTACTCATTTAATTGAGGGCTTTCAAAATAGTTTTTGTAATGGCCACGGTGTACTCCCGAGGTAAGTCCCTTATATTTTTTTGTTACCTTTTTAGTCGTTTCCGTTTTATGAACTCAGTATTTATTTTTGTTACGGTAGTAACATAATTACAAGTCAACGAGACAATTCATCACATAAAATAAAGATGCTTATCCTATTCAATTGTCTGGTTTTGCGACTCGTGCATCTTACGAGCGCACGAGTGTGGATTGTAATTCATACATTCATAGTTTATTACGCTCATTAACATAAGAACGGTATTTTATAACGCGTTATATAAATGGATGATAGCGTTAACACATATACTCTAATATGTATATAACGAGAGGAAAGTGCTCATGTGTCTTATGACATAATGGATGTCAAACAAATTTTCCCATGACCATTCCAATTTCACAATTAAGTCTTTGACTTCGTAAAATAGCAGAAGTAAAATTTTTCAGCTACGTACAAATAAATACCTAACGGTTATTAAAAACATAAACCGTGACTTATATTTTTATTGCTGGTATGTTTCACGTCGGTGCCAATAAAAACCACCTCAATGATTGTACAAAATAGAATATGATTTAAACTAGATTCTGTAGAATTATGATAATTAAAGAGAATATCAATTTACTTACAGATAGAAACAATCATAAGTATTCCAGGCACTCCGAAGGCTAGGGAGTAACAGTCGTTTTCTCCAAAGCAGTGGACATCTGCCCTCAAGATGGGCGTGAGGAAAGTGGAGAGCAGACTGCCTGCATTAATGGAGAAGTAGAAAAGGGAGAAGAAGTATCCGAGATACTTCGCCTGCTCGGGAAGCTTGAACTGGTCGCCACCGAAGGCGGATACGCACGGTTTTATACCGCCTGTCCCAAAAGCAATGAGCAGCAACGCCAATATTGTGAATGTTCTGGAAATAAAAAAGTAAACTTGGGTGTCGTGGAACATTCGGTTGAAACGAAGTTAAAAATAAACATAAAAAAGTAGAAAACTATTATAAGTTGCAATACAACTGACGGTTGTGACGGAAAAATCTAAAACTGTTTTTCACCTAGACCCCATCCGCCAAGCGCGTACCGTCCGAAAAGAAACTTCATTCCAATATATTTTTTATTGAAACAGTTAACCAGCAGCATTACGCATATAACCACGATTCAAGTCAACACAGCCACAAATGATAAATTTTCAATAAACACAAATGATAAAAAATCTTACGAGATTTCAAACGCGATAGAGCCGAGAGTCAGTTGGAGAAATTTGACTATTTTAGGTAATTCCTCGTTGCCAATTTTAAAAGCTTTTATATAATTTGCAATGTATGTATGTTTGTTCGGGTGGAATCCTGCAATTCATTTTTGAAGCAGACATCTTTTTTCGATTGAGCTGATATACACACGTTTAGTTTGGATGACAATGCATGGTGAGCTGTGTGACGTCATTATAAATCCAATATGCCAGAACATACAAGATGGCGGACTAGTTTTTTTTTATTTAGTGCAAATTTTATATTAAGTGCATTTAAATAAAAGCTTTTTTTTTAAAGTCTTTTACTTTTTAGCAATTATTTAGTATACACTTGGGTACTTTGATCGAGTCATGACATAAGAAAATAAGGTATACTGCCATTAATTTTTTCCGTGATTTCTTCTAACCATTTAACACATTGGCTAAAATCAATAAACATTTTAATTTACGTGACAGAATTGAAGTGCAGCATTCAAGTTTCCACCAACAACAATAAACCGTTATAATATATTCATAACTTATTTTTTTTAATAATGACGTTTTTCTCATGTCAACTTAGCAATTTGACTCTCCATTGCAAATGCTTTTTATTCGTCTAAACTAATATTATAAAGAGGAGAGACTGGACTGTTTGTTTGTTATCCATTAAACGCGCATCATGATAGTTTAGATACCGACGTTGTGTTTTTTTGATTCTTTTCGTAATTTTCGAACACGCGCAATCAAGATGAACTTCATCACGACTATCGTTTATATTTGTTTGAGAAGGCCCAAATAATCTTATTTCTATTGATAGTATTTAAGAAAGTAAAACTTACAAGGGCGGTAGGTTGACCGGTGGCATTGCTGCAAGTGAGATAAACACACTGCCCGTTGCGTAAACCAACGACAAATATAAAATTGTTCTGAAACATAAAAAAAGCTACGTTGAAGCATATGTAAAGCAATATCAAAGTAAATATTCACATAAGTCTTAACACAGAAACAGAGTAGTAGTATACGTAAATCCCGTGCAGTTTTTAAGCAAAACATGTATATTACATCAAGAATGTTATGTGCTGTTTAGACTATGCAAGTCATTTATTGCTACAATTTAATTGTATGCAACAGACAAGAAACTTTCATCGTGTATCATCATTTACATCGTTTTTAAAGCTAAGGCTTACTTGCACCAAAATTCTTAAATCAGATTTAATTTAATAGATAATCATGTTTAAGGCTCATACTATCTCTATTTGTCTTTATACAATTGACAAAATTGGAATGATGTGTTAAACACTATCAAGCTTTATTTCAAATAAATAACTTTGGCACAAGTGAGCCGGGTGATTTTAAATTTTAAATAACTAAGTATGTATTATTTCATTCATCTATTAATAAAATTTTACCGTTTAATGGCAATTGAACAACCATAGCACGCCATTATTAAAAATTAAATTACACAAGAACTACTTTAATTTGTAATAAAAGACGTGGTATTCATTTTGATTGATGCCTTCGAGTGCGACGGATCACATTGGCTCCGTCATAAAAATAGGGGCAATGTTTCTATGATTTCGTATTTCCATTTCATATATCTTCACACATAGTTGGCTCATAGTATATCCATAGTGATGGCTAGACTACTAACTGGTATTGTTGGTCGCTCACAATAAGGCACGCTCACGTAGACGAGCTTTGTGTAGCTGCCCATACGTTGGTGCGCTATCAATTATTATGGACGATGTGAGACAAATGCGGGCGAACGACAGCCAATGCCGACAAGTGACGCCAAATGAGGTATACACTATACACACTTTCCCTTTACTCGGCAAATTAGGCAAGCGACACCGATGACAAGACAAGACAAATATGCTGTTTTGCATTGGTATTGGCCTTTGCTTGGCTAACATGTATAGGCGGTTTAACAAATTTACCTGAATCTGCCAAGCCATCCGTCCGCTATCATGGCGCCGATCAGCGGGAAGAAGTATGCAAACATTGTGAAGCTGTGATAGACCACCGTCGCTCCGTCGGTACTGTAGCCCAGTTTATCGCGGAGGTACAGAGACAGGATCGCTTACAAACAAAAAAAAAACACCACACGTTATTATAAAATCTCACTTTAAGTAAAATTCATAAGATGATTGTTATATCTAAATCATAACAAATTCCGAGTATTACATTACTGGCGATCTTTAGTCAATTCATCATCACTAGCCTATTATATTGCACCTCAACAGAACTACTGAGAATTCAAGTTCTGTTAACAGAAGTAGTACGGGGTTAAAGGGCCTATTATTCCCCACTGATGGGGCACAGGCTGGGCTCTGGGCTTGTCAGGAATATCGGACAATGACCCACCCTGCGGGTCAAGTTCGTATAGATTGGTGCCAACCACTGCAGATATAGCCGCGATCTGAATTCCGAAGCATTTTGATCCTTAGGTAAGTTCGTTTGATCATTCAATTATCCTGTTATCGCCCCCGATATTTATTTTTCTTTACTATGTAGATGTTCACCTCCCACTTTTTTTACTACGCTCTATACTTGTTGCGGACTCGCTGGTCGTAATGAGGGTAATACATAGTAAAGAAAAATAAATCTCGGAGGTGATAACAGGATAATACTTTAAATTTAATCACAATACCAAAATGACGGAGTATAATATATTAGTTAACATAAAATTTTTCAGAGATAATAATTTATTAATGTTGACAAACAGAAAGACAAAACAATTCCAAATGAGAAAAAAATATCAATTTGTAGGTGTTATTATGGAAGTGACGATTAAACAAGTTAATAAGTCAAAAATATTTCTTGTCTATTTGATTAAATCAGTGTTCAATTTAATATCAAAACAAACTGTTTTTGAAGGAAAATAAAAAATAATTACTTAAGTAGGTAAGTGATGAATAAGGAAAACTAAAAACAAAACTTCTTATTCCAACTTCGGCATTGAACTAAAAACTTAGAAACAGCAAACTAAGATGAAATCATAGCGCTTTAACTCCGATTGCTAGAGATATTTAGGTGACTCCTAGTTCTGTACTCTGTTCATTCATTTTGATTTACTCAATGAAGTTTAAGTTAAGACATATTACATCGTACGACTTTTATGTTGGTACAAACCAAAATTTACTTAAGTTGCCAAAGTCGTTCCAAAGTGTAGGTTTGTGCGTGGTGCAAATGGACATGAGGCACTGCTATCATGCAACGCGATGTGGTTTTGCATCATATAATTTAAATATCAAAACGTTTCTGCCACTGCCGCAGAGGTATTTTTTATACTGCTTCTTGATTGCGTTTAACAATCTTTGATTAGATTAAATAATAATTAGATGTTCAAATTACAAAAAATAAACTTGTAAAAAAATATAATTCAATAATCTTAAGTCAATAAAATTGGTCAGGTCTGGGTGGTTGAATGACTTGAACCTTTAATTCTTTTTTGATGGCCTTTAGATTGTAGTTGTTTCAAGTATTTGGTCTGATTATTAGTTATTTTTTCTATAAAAATGTTGTAGACCCACATTTGCAACTGAGTCAAGGCTGGAAAAAAAGTTAGTTCATGTTTTTCCTCTAACAAAACAATTCTAAATTATTGAGCTGATCAATGTTACCTTTTCCTTTTTTAGACGATGATCTTAAGATACAACCCGCCGATAGATGGACGGTGGAGTGGAACGGACAACAGGGTTCCATTGTAAACTTTTAAGTCTAGAAGCGCAATTTTAACATAATAATAAGGCACTTCGTTGGCCAGGGTCAGTAATTTTGAGAAGGAAAATAAACTGAACATTTTGAAACGTAGGTCGTCATTGTCGTCGTTTATTCACATAGCTGGTTGTCAATTTATAGTAGCATCTATCGAGAATCGTGACGACGCCTTTGCATTATCTGAGAAAAATTTCTATAGTAATAATATTTTTTGAAGTTAAAAATCCTATAGAAAAAATGAAATGGAAATGCGTCACGAGCGGCACACGACTATATATACGAGTATATAGTGTGTGTTTGTGTGGGATGCGTGCGCAGCTCTTTCCGACGAACTTGAAAGTTGGAGGGTAACTCAGCGAAGGTTGAAACGCGCCAATATACCTAGTCAGGTCATAAATTCTGTCACATGTTAAAATAATTGAAACAAGTTTATTCATTATGTAACCATTTATAAACCAAAATGAACTTAACAAAACATAGATTCTTATGATAATAAAGTTTATTCAAAATGACCTCCGGAATTTTGAATACAGGCTTTCAATCTGCGCGGCCAGTCGTGTATCGCAGCACGACAGAGGTCCATGTCAATATCAGCAGCTGCCTTAATCAAGGATGTCTTGAGTGACTCCAAATTGGGATGAGGCTTTGAGCACGCCTTTTCCTCCAAGTGTTGCCATATCTTGTAATCTAACGGACTCGAATCTAAACTGGAGGAGGGCCAGTCTTCGTGCCGGATGAAGTCGATTTCACGCGCCGCCAGCCAGTCTTGTGTGCTCTTCGCTCTATGAGCTGGCGCCGAATCTTGTTGGAATAACTAGTGACTGTTATTGAACATGGTATGAGAAACAGGTTCCACAAGGTTCGTCAGGACTGTATTTTGATACACAACTGCATTCGTTTTTACACCTTTCTCACAAAAATGTACCTCTATTAAGCCCCAATAAGAAACTCGCAACCATACCATGAGCGAGGATGGAAAATGACCTCGTTGGACACGCAGAATACGGTTACTCGCTTCTTCACTACTGTGTGCGTACACCTTATCATTTTGTTTATTATATTTTTTTCATCGGAAAAAAGAATTTCCCGATATTTTTTTCCCGCGTACCGCTTCAACAAAGCGCGGCATCTCTTCAGTCTCACGTCCATAAGATGAGCATTCAAACGATGTCCTGTTTTTTTTCGATATGCCCGAATCCCTAAGTCTTCATTTAACACCCTTTTTACCGTAGTTCTGCTTAACCCCATCTGAAGGGATAACAGTTTCTGCTTACGTTTGGGATTTCTTCGCGCCTTCACAGCTTTTATCGCTGCTGGACTCCTAACAGACCGAGGGCGACCACTTCTTGACCTGTCATCTACACTAGAGTCTTCATTGTTATTATTCGTATTCTTTGGGGCGTGTGCCGGAGACTTGGAGAGATGCTAACGTGCAACCGGTGCCCAAAAAACGGGATCGCTCAGACGCGGCAAACTACCGGCCAATAGCAGTCACCTCAGTTTTATGTAAAGTTCTAGAAAAGGTCCTTAATAACCATCTGACCCGCTACCTAGACGATCACTCCCTGATTAATGATCGTCAATATGGTTTTAGACCGAAACGATCGGCGGGTGATCTTCTAGCGTACTTAACTCATATCTGGGGTGAGGCTATCGACAAGCGTGGCGAGTCGTTGGCTATCAGCTTTGACATTGCCAAGGCATTTGACAGGGTCTGCCACAAAAGCCTCCAAGCTTCCGGCATACGGTCTGCCAGCCCAGTTCTGTTCTTGGGTAGCTGACTTCCTGCATGAGCGTAGAATTCGTGTCCTTACGGATGGTAGCAGTTCGCGGTTCATGTAAGTGAATGCCGGCGTTCCCCAGGGCTCCGTCCTATCCCCCACTCTCTTTCTGCTGCATATCAATGACTTAATTCCTCTTGGGAATATTCATTGCTATGCAGACGATAGTACAGTGCATGCGGGGTATCTCGGACAAGCAGCGGCTGGGCAGGCGGTAACCAAGGAGAAACGGGAGAATCTTGTCATTGAGCTCAATCAGGCTTTGGACCACATTTCTGTATGGGGTACCAAGAACTTGGTTGAGTTCAATGCTAAGAAAACCCAGGTCTGTGCTTTCACGGCAAAAACGTCGCCATTCCTTTTATGTCTTTCTCTTCAGGGCACAACACTGGAACTAGAGAGCAGTATCACCATGCTCGGTATGGAGATTCGTTGTGACTTAAATCCAAAGAATTACATCGAAAGTGTGATAAAAACAGCCTCACGCAAACTCGGAGTCCTGAACAAGGTAAGGCGTTTTTTCACGCCCGATCAACTGTGCTTGTTGTACAAAACTCAAGTGCGGTCCTGCGTGGAATATTGCTCGCACCTCTGGGATGGCTCCGCCAAGTACTTGCTCGATGCTTTGGATAGGTTACAGCGGCGCGCGATCCGCATAATAGGCGATGAGGAGGTGACTAAACACCTTGAGCCTCTTCAATTACGCCGTGACGTGGCGTCACTAAGTGCGTTCTATCGTCTGTACCACGGCGAGTGTTCTGAGGAGTTATTCTCTCTTATCCCACCTTCCCCGTTCCTTCAGAGGACCACGCGCGCTGGCCTACGTTGTCACCGTTTTACTGTGGCCACAATTCCAACGCGTACAAAGTAATTTGGTGACTCATTTCTTTGTCGCACTATCCGTAAATGGAATGCTCTGCCCGCTCACGTGTTCCCTCCCTCTTACAACCTGGGATCCTTTAAAAGAGGCGTGAAGAAGCAACATGCAGGCCGACATGGTGAGGATGGCTGGTGTGGCAGGTAGAACTGCTGTATCAGCTATCTTCGCGTCTGGACTTCACCTTCACTTTACATCAGGTGGGGTGGAGTCATTTATCGGAAGTAACCTATAAAAAAATGTATCGTTTGATGGTACGATAAACGAATCTTTTATATATTATCTTATCTTTTATAAATATTCAAATTTTACAGTATGTCAAAAATTTGAATTGGCGTGTAACTGCAACAATGGAACGCAATAACTGCAATTTTATTTTCCCCCTTTTTTATGTGTTCTGTTCCTTTTAAAATGGGTTTCACCCTGTTCTGTTATTTCTCATTTTTTATAAAATGAAACCTAATAAGTAAATCTTCTTTTCTGCTGAAAAGTTTAAAGAACTTGGTTTTTTTCCTCCCTCCTCCCCTGGCTTACACCAAACCGGCGCGATGCATGGCGCCGAGGTGACTCTCAGGCCTACGTTTAATATTGTTCTTGTTTATTTACCATTTTTTGTTGTTTTACTAAAAGTGCAACCATCTGTCAGTGTCCGCATTTGCGACGAATAAATGTTTTTGATTTGATTTGATATTATTAGGCAA